GGGTTGCGCCAGAGTGTCTGCCACAGGGGGAACCGGGTGGGTAAAAGCTGGAGGCTTGACAGAAGCGGATGCGGGAGAGCGGCAGCCAGAACCGGCGTCGGGTTCGACTGGCACTGGCGGAATTCGATGTAAGGGGTGGAAGCGTGCTGCGTGCGACGTGCAGCTGAGTGGTGCAAAGCCGAGGGAGAGCCGTCATGCAGCTGTTGGGCCGGGCTGATGGGGGTCTTGAGCCGTCCGCCTTCGTGGATCGCGACTGTGTCTTTGCTGGTTAGGCCGGCTGGATACACACGTGTTGGCGATGCGAGCGCAGCTAGTCGGTTGGATCGGTCGTCGGTGGGCTGTTTCGAGACACGCGACCCTGACTGAGCTGAGGTCAAGAGTGGGAAGGGTCTTTGTATTTATTTGCTGGAGCCGGGAGGTAGTCACGGCGCAACTCCGTGGCGGGACCGATGGAAGCTTCCACTGGGTGGCAGAACAAGGCGGGTGTTCCGAGAGAGAGAGGGGCTTGGAAGCTGGGGGACAAGCGGCAGCTGGTTACGATGGCATCGCACAGCGAGCGATAGACACCTTGCTTGCCTGCTGCCGGGGCATGATGCCCGGGGTACCCCCGCAAAACAGTACGTCATGGCTGTAGCTCCCTTCTTCCGCCCCCGTTGTCACCGCCGTCTGCCACCTCAGACTCCAAAACGCGTACCACATTGTCTCTCGCAGTCTGCGCAACATGTCTCCTCTTACGGGCCGCGACAAACAGATGCTATTCATGGCCCCCGGGTTTACGTACAATCATCAAGTCAGCGCGGCCCCGTGTGTCAGCATGGCCTTCCTCGTTCGGCTGGGCGCTGCGAAATAAACATCTTCAAGCAAGGTACGGTAGGGCAGGGCACAATCTCACCTCGGCTTCAGCCAGAGTCGCTTTCGTGTGGTGGAACAGCAGCAACCCCCCGGCTGACGGTGCCATCCGCCCGGCTATTCGTACTCACACTGAGAGAATCCTCACGAGGATCTGGTCAAGTGTCACCCCAGGCTGCCCAACAACTCTTCCGCACTCCCAACCGCTCTCCCCAGGTGTCAGATGTCTTACCGCAGTGTGTGCCAACCTCGACACCCTCAGCGAACTGGTCGTCTTCTCCAGGTTTCCAGGCTCCCAACCGCTGCGCTGGGGAAAAGAATGGGTACCTCTTGCTGCTTGGTGCTTGGTTCCCAGCGTCTCGTCGCAGCTGCACCCGCCCGCCCACAGTTGCCCGCGATCTAAGGTACCTAGACCCGTTGGGGGTCGAGTGTGGGCATGGGGAAGACACGTGCCATGTCATTATGAAATCATCTGTGGGAGATGCAATAAACGAAGCCCATTCACGCATGGCCATCACCTAAGCGAGCCTATCGACTTATCAGGAGTCCCTTGCGTCCAGACGACCGGGCTAACCAACTCTGGGACGTTCGAAGCTCAAACACTGGGCCTCCAGTACCGGTACTTCAAGATCGACGCTTGGCGGCCGCTGTTCCGTCCAAAAGGCACTGACACCTGCCCGCCCCCAATTGTAGCTCTACCACCCCGCCGCGACTACGCAACGTCAAACATCCACGGCCAATCAGCGGACGGATACAGAGCCACCGCGGTGCATTGTTGCAGCCTCCGAGAAGTGGCTGGCTCCCGTCCGTCTGTCTTGCTATTGCATTGCTGCACCTACCGACCTTACCTGCGCCTGCATCTCGAGTGGACACCTTTGCGAATGCCATCTCGACCTTGAGGCCTGGCGAAATCGATACATTGCGCCCTCTCGTCGCCGCCTCACACGACTCCGCGGCGGACGATCCCTCGACACCTGCGACGCCTGTCGAGCTGGCTTGTTCATGATCGCCATCCGCAACCCTCGGAGCTCATGTGCGACCCGCCGGTCAGCCTGCTTCCCTCTTGATTCTGGATCTTACTCTGTCACCAACCCGTGAGCGCCGCAATTACCGCACCGAACCTCTCGTTCAACATGTTTTCTACCTCCGATCTCGCAGGAACGGCCCTGCGCATCGTCCGTACGTTGCCATGGCACAGCCATCCACCTCCAGAGAGAACGCGCAAACTGACGATCCTCAGAACGTGCGGCCGAAGAAGGCGATCCCGAAAGTACGCTGCCGAAGCTGCCCATCTCCCGCCCTGCCGACTGCGACTGACTATAAACTCCAGGTTCTGATGGCTCTCAGAAGGAAATCTTCGCCGCATGGGCGCTCTTCATTTCCATTATGCTGCTCATTATCGCGTTCCTCACAAGCTACTTTCTCCAAGAGAGGAAGATTGAAGCGGTCCACGAAACCGTCATTTCCATCTTTGCCGGTTTGTCGCCTTCTCTCTATGCGCAGCCTGTATCTCGAGATGATCTGACCTTAGCTTCTAGGTATGACTGTCGGACTCCTCCTACTCGTGACCTCTGGCGACTCGATTCGAAACCTCATCAGCTTCGATTACCAAATCTTTTTCAACCTATTGCTGCCTCCAATTATCCTGGCGTCGGGATACGAACTACACCAAGCCAACTTCTTCCGGAACATGGGCACGATCTTGACATTCGCTTTTGCCGGAACGTTCCTGTCGGCGGTGGTCATTGGTCTCATACTGTGGCTCTACGCGCTCACCGGCGTCGAGTCCATCAGCATGTCATTTGTCGACGCTATCTCTGTGGGAGCTACCCTGTCAGCCACTGACCCTGTGACCATCTTGGCCATCTTCAACTCGTACAAGGTCGATCCGAAGCTCTATACCATCATCTTTGGCGAGTCAATCTTGAATGATGCTATTGCCATTGTCATCTTCGAGACGGCGCAAAAGTACAAAAAGGGTGACGCCTCTAAGCTGGGCTTATTAAGCTTCTTCGAGGGTATCGGCATCTTCTTGATTGTCTTCTTCGGCAGCATGTTGATCGGCGTTCTCGTCGGTGTTATGACGGCACTGCTTCTGAAGCTTACCTACATCCGCCGCTACCCCAAGACAGAGAGCTGTCTGGTTGTTCTGATTGCCTATGCCACGTACTTCTTCTCTCACGGCATCCACATGTCTGGTAAGTTGACCCGACGGCTGCAATCTCTTTCTGGCGCTGACCCTCTGTAGGTATCGTGTCTCTGCTGTTTTGCGGTATCACGCTGAAGCATTACGCCTACTTCAACATGTCGAGGCGGACGCAGCTCACCACCAAGTTCATTTTCCAGATCCTGGCACAGCTGTCAGAGAACTTTATCTTCATCTACCTCGGCCTTGCCCTGTTCACAGATAATGCGCTGCAGTTCCGACCTCTGCTCATCATCATTACCGTCGCAGCAGTCTGCGCTGCACGATGGGTCGCCGTGTTCCCGCTGTCCCGCGCCATCAACTGGGTCATCCGTTACAGGGCTCAGCGCAGGGGCGGAGATGTCAGCGATGAGCTTCCGTACAACTACCAGGCCATGCTCTTCTGGGCCGGTCTCCGCGGTGCTGTCGGAGTGGCTCTAGCAGCGCTGCTCACGGGCGAGAACTCCTACGCGCTCAAAGCCACCGTCCTGGTTGTCGTCGTGCTCACTGTCATCATCTTTGGCGGTACAACGGCGCGCATGTTGGAAATCCTCGGTATCCGCACGGGCGTTGTCGACGAGATTGACAGCGATGACGAGTTCGACATTGAGTCGTTCGGAGGTAACTATTACAAGCGCTCCGGCGGCATCGGCTTCACTCCCGGGCGACGGAACGGCAGCATGTCGCTGGACAACATCGCCTCACGCAACGGCACCCGCCCGGGCGCTGGCTCGGAACGCGGTAGCTACGTTTCCGGCCATCACTCGCCGAACCCCATCAAGCGAGGCACAAGCCTCAGCCGCAAGAACTCTGAGGCGGAGCGGGGCGACCTGCTGAACCGCAGCGGTAACACGACAGACTCGGATCTGGGAAGCGACATTGACACGTCGGATCTCCCGCCTCCTGCCCGTCGCGAACCCCGGAGGACGAGTCCGTCGATGCTCACCCCCGGCGCATCGAACTCGGCAACTTCATCCGCCATCCTGCAAGCCGAGCCCTCACCTGCAGCGCATCACGTCTCTGCGACATCAGCCATCAGGCAGCTGTTCAGCGCCGAGGATCCTGCGGGTCTGTTCCGGCAGCTGGACGAGGACTTTATCAAGCCCAAGCTGTTGCTCGACGGCGGCAACAACAACAATCATCGCGGGAACGGGTCTGGGCCTGCTTAGACGCGGCTCGCATGTAGCGGTTCTCGTTTCAATCTGTCTAAACGTCATTTCAGTGGTTTGTTTGCTTTCATCTCTTCGGAGACGGGTTTGTTGCACTTCCAGCGGCACTGGGAGAGTGGGCATCAAGTGGCGTTAGGCGTAACTATAGAGCGAGGTCTCGCATGAGGCCTGGGTTTCCGTATCATAGTACCCATGAAGAAATGTCGTTTCCTAATGCTATCCAACTCATTTTTGTGACATGCAGTTTTTGACGTGATTTGGATGTCCGGTGCGAGATTACATGAGCAAGCCTGCATCAACAGCACAGGTTCACATGCGGTAATAATGACGGATATGTAGGAGTGGCTTTCTTCTTTTTTTCATTTCGTCTTTCCTCATCAGGCAGCCTGTCTAAGAAGCAATGCTGCCCTCCCGTCTCGTCTTCGCATTACAAGAGGTTATATACAACCTTGTGGATTCTTTCGCCTCCGCTGCCAGTAAGAATTTCGCAATACTCCTTTTATCTATGTACACGACGTCTGCTCGCGCCGCCGGCCTTTCCTTTCTGTGTCGTTTCGCCGCATCAGAGTGCTGGCTTGGGTGACTAGGAGGCGGACGGCGCGACGACACTGCGAAGATGCCCTTGTTTCTTCCCCAAAGGACATGCAATCCGCGCTTCCCGCGGCACCAGTTATCTTGTATCGTCCCCTGTCGCAATGTCCGGGCACTCATCGCTGCACCCTGAACACATGTCCGACTTGTGAGTTGTATGGGATATCATCGCGTTTAATAAGATGCCTCGTCTTCGCTACCTCGGCCTATGTTGACGGCGCAGCAGACGGTGTAGCGCTTCCGCTTGCTTGGCGCTCCGGCTGAGTTGGTTGAGGGGTCACCTGCTGTGTTGCTTGCGGGGTTGCCTGCTTCGTTGCCTGCTGCTGAGCAGGTGATTGAGCTGGCGGCTGAGCAGACTTTTGAACTTGTTGTTGAGCTGGCTGCTGGGCTGGCTGCTGGGCTGGCTGCTGAACCGTTTGCTGCGTTTGTTGCGGTGGCTGCTGAATCTGCTTGGCCTGTTGAGACGCCTGAGGCGGTTGCGGCGGCTGCGGCGGCTTAACCTGCTGAGCTTGCGGGGTCTGCGGAGTCGGCGGTGGCTGCGAAGGTTGCTTGCTTGGCTGGTTCTGCTGTGCATGCTGAGCTTGCTGTGCCTGGGCCTGGGCACGCTGTTGGGCTTGCTGCGCTTGCTGCGCACGTTGGGCCTGCTGAGCTTGTTGCAACTGCTGGGCCGTGTGTTGTTGATGCGGTGTCTGCTGTTGTTGTGGCTGAGGCTGGTTCGGGGGTTGAGGAGTAGACTGCGGCCGAGGAGTTGACTGAGGTCGAGGTGTGGGCGTAGGTTGAGATTGTGGTGTGGATTGAGGTCGTGGTGTAGGCTGAGGTTGAGGTGTGGAATGAGACTGAGATGTAGCGCGGGAATGAGCCTGATGTTGCTGTTGAGCATGATGTTGTTGCTGAGCATGCTGCTGGTGATGCTGGGCGTGTTGCTGCTGTTGGAGGTGTGCTTGTTGCTGAGCGTGTTGTTGCTGTTGAGGGTGGTGTTGCGCCTGTTGTTGCTGGCCATGGTGCTGGTGTGCCGGCTGGTGCTGACCGTTCTGCTGACCATTAGGCTGGCCGGAATTTGCAGCAGCCTGCGCCGCTTGTTGTTGCTGTTGCTGCTGTCTGAGAAGTGCAGCATACTGGTGCGGGCTTGTTGAGGCTGCTATGCCGTTAGCCATACCAGGGGAAGAAGCGCCTCCACCACCGGCGGCAGCGTTCATAGCGCTCTGCGACATTGTCGTTCGCTGGGCAATCATCAACCGCGTGAGGTGATCCGTAGCTGCTTGGCGAGCCTGCTGTTCCGTCAAGTTGGGATTCTTGGCCTGAAACTGGGCCTGGATTGCGTTGAGCTGCAACTGGATATTGGGCGGCATCTGCGGGCGAGGCGAGCCAGAAGTACCATTGGGCATGTGGAGACCACCTGCGGGAGGCGTGGACATTCCGCCGCCGTTAGCGGCGTTGAAGGAGGCCATCATTGCTTGGGCGTTCGCAAGGAGATGCTGCTGAGGTACACCGTTGACGCCATTGGTACCATTAACGCCATTGACGGTAGCAGGGCGCATGTTCGGCGGGGAGTGGGACTGCGAAGCCGGCGTGCCCTGGTGCATCTGCTGTTGACCCTGTTGCGCTTGCTGACCTTGCTGCTGTTGCGCCTGCTGCTGCTGTTGTTGATGAGGCTGTTGGACTTGTTGCTGCTGCGCCTGCTGCATGTGGGCGACGGCTTGACGCTGCTGGTCCGAGATGCGACGGGCTTGAAGCAGCAGGTTGACATTAACTTCCGGCTGGGGATTTGGCATTGGCATCCTGTGCTGTTGCTGGGCTTGCATCGCAGCTTGAATCTGCGCCTGCGGCACTCCGTTCATCTGCATCGGCGGCACAAGACCGCCCATCTGAGCAGGTGCGCCGCCCATGTTGGCTGTCGGAGCCTGCATCGGCATGCGGCCACGGCCCTGGCCTGGAACGGCAAGCTGGTTCGGCATATTAGGGCGAGCCAAGTTACCATTGACCTGGGCAGCGGCGGCCACGGCTGCGGCAGCCGCACCGTTCGCCTGCATCTGAGCAGCGCCGGGAGTGGTCGCCATCTGGGCAGCAGCTTGGCCTTGCTGGGCACGTTGTGCTTGTAAGGCCATCTGAGTAGAATCTGTGTTAGTAGGTACGATACCCTCGGGATTTCGCACAGGACGTACCCTTCGCTGAGTTTCTTGTCGCTGGTGGAACTGGGCCACCTTCTCAGCGAGTTGTTGGTCACGCTCCCACCTCATCAAGCTGTAGTCCCTCGGCGTCTTGACTGGTCCTCGCGGCTGGGCCGACTCGTTGGCTTTGCGCATGGCTGCCATCTGAGAAGCATGCTGCTGCTTCTGAGCCGCCGTCTCCCGCTTCTTGGCCAACTTTCTCATCGCGTCAATCAGCGTCAAGTGCTTCTGGTTGCGTCTTCGCTCCACTCTAAGCGGTGTGGACGGTCTACGCCTAGCAATCGGTGTCGCCGGTGTGGTTGCGCCAGCTGGTTGTTGTTGTGATTGCGGCTGCTGCTGCTGCTGCTGTTGTTGTTGCTGCTGTTGCTGCTGCTGCTGCTGCTGCTGCGCCGCAAGCTGGTTCTGTTGCATGATCACCCGGTTTGCCGCATCGATCCTGTTCTGGTATGCTTTGAAGTACTGCGTCTTTTGCATGTCCGTTGGCAGGCCCTCCAGATTGATCCAGCGCTCGAAGCACTCCCACGGCGTTCGACGCTCGGCACCAGAGGCGAACACAGATCTCGTCGTGAGCAAGCTGGAGATGAGCGACCAGTTGTACGAATACTCGCGGACAAGTCCACGCAACTCGTCATCTTCGGAAAGAGTCCATTGTGAAGGGCTGCGGCTCTCGTAGAAGTTTTGCATCGGCATCTGATATTCCGCAGGAGGGCGGAACTGGTGGCCGGCGTGAAGACGGTCTCTAATCGGCTTCATATCGGGGTTGAACAGAGCCACGTCCGTGTTTTGCGGCGGCAGCTTCATCCTCTTGGCAGGCTGAGATCCAAACACGACCTTCTCGTCGTCGTCATCCTCCTCTTCTTCGTACTGGAAGCGGCTGCGTTTTCTCGGAGGTCCGTCCGTCGAAAGCTTCATTTCACCCTCAACATACTTGCTTAGAGGAAGTGCAGGCCGGCGCCAGTGAGCATCGGGGTCGAACTCGGGGCCGGTGAAATCGAACGAAGGGACCTTGAGCGGTGCACCGTACATCGGCAGCTCCTGCAGCAGCTGATCTGCCGTCGGCGAGTTTCGCAGCTCGAACACGACATCATCGTCTTCGAGTGCGAAAATCGCCGACGGTGCAACAGTCTCCAGGACCTCCTCGCGCAACTCATCCACGTGCTCAGGAGAATCCGAGTCGCCGGACGGTATCAGCTCGGGGGTGGGCTGAGCGTCGACCGCGTCCATGGAGGTGTCTGCCATCGACATGTCTGTCTCCGCCTCGGCTGATTGTGGCTTGGGGGGGATGAAGGCAGGAATCTGGAGCTCCTTGCGTTCTTCTGCACTTGACGTAACCCACTCAGCGCACGCCTGCGCCAGGTTACGCGCGACCGCCATCTTCCACTTGCGTTCCTCCCGGAAATCTGTCCTCATCCACTTCATCTCTTGAAGCAAGACGTCCCAATGAGACTCGGGGCGTACAGGCTCAGCACATCGCTTTGGTTGACGCAGAGACCACTTGTCGTGCTGTTGAAGATGATAGACCCGCCGCAGCACACGGCATGCCTGGTTGTCCTGAATTGCCACGTAAGCATCGGGAGTCGACACCGTCTTGTGAGACTGATTAAGAATAACTTCGATCGGTTTCATCCACTTGCTAGTTTGAGTGAAGCCCTGCACGAAGAGTGGCGTAAAGTAATCGTCCGTTGGCAGAAAACTCTGTTTTTGCTGTGAAGGCACCACAGACTTGTCGGCTGAGCGTTTTGTTGACTTTCCGAAGACGACCGCTGAGGGCGTGTTCTTGGCCTTGTCCTTCTTCTTGCTGGCGAATGTCTTTGATCTGACCGTTGGTGATTGCGGAGCAAGCGTAACCGGAGTAAGCTGGCTGGGTGGTACATTATCGGTGCCGGCAGTGTCGACAGGTTCCGGCCGCGATTCTCCCAAGATCTCTGATACCGACTTCTGCCGCATAGCGCCGGACGCCGTTCGTGTGACAGCACGTTCAGGATCTTGCGAGACATTGGCGAGGTTTTGTGGTTGCGGGGTTGCAGATTTTGCCGGTGTGGGCTCGGGGCGACCTTCTTGTCCATTTGAGACTGAAACCTTATCCTCAGGGTTAGAAGCTGGCTCATCCACATCCATCTGGTCGTCACTCGAAACTTGTTCTTGACTATCCGGAACCTCTTTGGCTGCCGGTCCCGTGATCGGTTCGACCGTTGTGGCGAGAGCATCCTCAACGGTCTCAGGTGCTGACGGCTTATCAGCCACTGGTTCAGGGGCCTTCACCTCAGGCTCTGGTACCACGAGGGTGGACGCAGGTGGGGGCGTAGGTGCCTTTTTCGGAGTTTGAACTACTGGTGCCGAAGGAGTGGTGTCCATTGCCATGGATTCCTGCAAAAGTTGGGCCTCCGGTCCATCAGGAATCCGATCCGCATCTGCCAGAGGTGACGTCTCTGTCGTCTTCGGTTCCTCTTCAGCCTTGTCCTCCGTCTCTGCCTCATCCCTGGGCTCCATACGCTCGACATAATGGGGCCCTTCGTTGTCAGGGCTGGTATCCGTCGAGGCATCATGAACTGCTGGGGTGGCTGCTGTCTGGGTTGTCGACCCCGGTGACGAGAGGGCATCCACAGCCCGCGCGGTGTCCGGCGGCAGCTTGACAGCCAGGGGAACCGTATCCTCCGTCTTCTTGGGTCCCTGCTGGGCGGGCGGTTGTGGTGCTGGAGACTGAGGAACTGGTAAATCCGTCGACGTTTTGGGCGCATCAACAGGCGACGCAGACTCGACCTCCTTCGACGTGGATTTCGGCTCGTCCCTTACAGGCAACGGGGCGGCCTTCGACGTGGATTTCGGCTCGTCCCTTACAGGCGACGGGGCGGCCTTCTCCGAGTTGTCGCCATCCACCGGATCACTAGCATCCTGACGCGACGCATGAGAAGGGTCCTTGGATACAACAGCCGGCGGGGCTGGCGGAGGTGTCGGAGCGGCGGTAGCAGGCGGCTTTACAGCTTCGGGTCGATTTGAAGTTGGGATCGCTGAGACGGGAGTCGGAGGCTTTGGTGGCAGAGCAGCAAGGCCGGTTGGTGGTCGAATGGACGGGGGAACGCCATTCGATTCGGTGGGCGCAGCCGGAGGCTGCTGTTGCGACGGCGCGGGGATGGGTTTCGCTTGCGGTTCGGCGACAGCAGCTTGCTTCGGTGGAGGAGTAGGCTCGGCATCTGGTGCGAAGAGGCCAGATGTGTCGAGGGAGTTTTTCAAGACATCGTAGCGCAGTTGAGGTCGTTGGGGAATAGCCAGCTCATTCAGCTTCCGTCCTCTGTAAGTCGTGTTAGCGACGGTTTAATGGCGAACAGAGCAAAACGCGACCAAATTAATTCAAAAAAGCGCGGCAGGGTAGGCCGGACGTACTGGGAAATATCGCTGCTTTGCAAGAACTGATTTTCGGCTGTTGTGAAGGGTGGCGCGTCGGGCTTTGCAAAAGCGTTTGTGGGGAGTGCATCGCCATCGGTCGCGACAGCAAAGAGCTGGCGAAGCTTCCGCTTTCTCGACGTTACAATTGAACTAAAAATTATCAACACCTCGAATTTGGTATCGCTGGAATCGGAAGAGCGAGATCTATCGACTGGAATAGTTACTCACTTAAATTCATCGCGTTTAGATCGCAAAAGCCTGGAGCGGTCGGCAGGCCCGACCTCAGTCATGTCATGAGCTGCCGCGACATCCGTTTTGGGCAAAAACGGAATGTCGACGATATTTTTTGGGATTCGCAGAGATGGAATCAGCGATCGCAGGTGATGAAAGTGGTGGTGGCGGGTTGTGACAATTGATCGCGATTGAAGTTCGTCGTGGAGGCGTGGAGGCTCGACCAGAATTTTGTCGGTCTACAGGCGCTGAACGAGTAGGTGATTCTGGAAGTCACAGGCCAGGCTGGCGGTGCTAGATTGGGCGGGAGAGAGATTGATGGACCAAGGAAAAAATGTTATCGCTACCATGGGGAAGCGGAGAAGACACTGTGCGCGCCAGTTTGCGCTTACCATCAACGCGTGCAGATCCCGGTGATGGCGAGATGGACGACCGGGGCCAAAAGGAGAAGCGGCACAGTGCCAGGTTCTAATCTCTTATGCGATAACCCTCTCCAATGGGGACGCCTGGACCGGACCCTCCAGGCTTTTGGCGCGCACGAAGACTGTTGAGAGAGAAAGTGACCACCCCCGGGGAATACTGGAGGTATTCCATCAGTGCCTCTGGGCTTTCTCCAGCGCGCTCAGTCCAAGTGCAGCGCCGACACACGCTCGTTCCTTTTCTTCCTTTTTGCCCTCTCCCTCTTTTTTCCCCTTCTCTGCCGTCAAGGCAGGTATGATGTATCGGTACATGTCTTAGTTTAGTAGACAGGCGCCTCCAAACGACCCTGTGAAGTATCTACCAGTCATGATGGAGGAGGTTGTCTGCTTGATTCAGGGTTCGCGTCTGCAAGTGCTGCATTCGTCTAGACCAACCCGATTCCTGTGTGGCCTGGCATCCAATCTCATTAGCATCCCTGGCCCCATTCACATTCCTCAGGTGCAAGCGGCCGTCGCTTCCTGCATGGGATTTTGCAGTTCCATGTTCGTGTGAAAATCTGGATCTCACTTGATTTCCTCTTGGCCGTATTCCTGGTTGTTGGGCCAAAGCCTGCCCGGCCATGCTGTGGACGTTTCTTCAAGGCGGCAGCCTCACAATCATGCGCCACGCCTGCAATTGGCAGGACTAATAAAAACCTTCCCTCCTCAGGCTGGTTTTCTCCAGCCTCAGAACAGGCTTCAGATTCCGATGGTCCTGTGAGTTTGCGCTCACCCTCCACGACGGCCCGATGACAAACATGGCTTCTGCCTGGGAATCGTCCGGCTGGCCGCTTAGCCATTATGCGATGACAATCGGGCAGGGAGCGACCGTGGCAAACGAACGCATAATGGAACACGCCAACGACGCCCAGGGCAAGGCAGTTTGCAACCTCACTCGAGGAGCCAGAACCCCGGTATGGCTGTTGGTGTGTGGGTGTGGGTGTGCTTGTGATGAGACGAATTGCAACGGAGCTGAAATCGCTTGATTCGCCTGCCTGCGCCCTGGAAGTCCGCTTAAGCAACCGTCATAGACAGCCCGGAGGCGAGTGTGAAATGATGGATGGCCATGAGTCGGGTGCCTTTGAGCACAAAAGAGGCTCGACTCGCAACCTGTCGACCAGCGATTCTGCAACATCTCTTTCGCTCCGTTTAGTGGGAGCAGATGCGGCCCAAAATCTCGCGAGTCCCGAGTCAGTTCCGCGCCGCCAACACTCGGAAGAGCTGGAGTCTCCAGCGGAAAAGTCGTCAGTTCCAGAAGAGTTTTCGGTTGGGATCTCGGAAGGGGGGCGTCGATGTGCGAGATCAGACCGTTGGCCACACACGGGCAGTCCATGACTTATCCCAACCTACAGCCGGCTTTTCGAGATTTTTCCTCTGGCTTTTGCGCCGGGGCCCCATGGGTGATCGGGTGTGAGAGAGAGCCTGAGCAGTAAGAGGTGCAGGGCAACGGCCAGGGTCGAGTGCTCGATGCTCATTGGCCGGAGCTCATGCTCCAGCGCAGTCCTAAAATCCTGACCATCATGTCGAAGCTGTCAGCTAGCCTCTGGGGGATTTTTGTCCCGAGGGCCCGTGAGCCGGGCTGATCGTCATCCTGCGCAGCGTCTCTGTTGGGTCAAGTCGTTGATGCTGTGTTGTGGTGATTTGTGCTGGATGGTCTTGTCAACGGACCCGGAAATCGAAGCTGGGGAACCGAGAAAAAGCGAGCCAGTCGAGCCGATGTTTCGACGCAGCTGTGCGTTTGCCAAGACGTCGCATTTTCTTCCAGCACTGGAAGTCTAAACAAAGGTCAGCAAGACTTGGAACTGCTGCAACACGCGACATACCATCTACCTTTCAGAATACAAAATCGAGTAAACCAAAGACAGAATATTTTCGATAGTGAGCTGGCAGCTGAACATGTGTGGGTGTACCTGACGGGTCACAGGTCCGGAGAAAAGAAATCGCATCGACGACAGCTTGGACGTAACTCCGTCGCCCAATGAGAGGCCGTCGTGCCTTACACAATGCTTAAATCCTGAGAGTTATGCACGGCCTCCTCGGATTGGCTGGACGAGTATAAATGCCGTTTTGTGTGACATCACGATTCCTACCGGCACAGTTGCAGTTGGCCCTTGTGGGTTCGTACAGGGGCTGGGCCATGTGCTGCCAATGAACTCCCGGAGTTCACAGCTAGGTTGACATAGAATCTGCATGCCAAAGTGTCAATGATAGTCTGATAGATTCGCCTTGCACAGCCGAAGACGGCTCCCAGTTCGGGGCAACCTGTGTGCCTCGGGCGACCCCATTACTCCTTGCCCGCCGGAGTCCGCAGCTGCGCCGTCCCGTTATTTATGTCTGATAAACAAGTCATCTTGCAGTTTTCAGTTGATGATCTGGCTGGTACATATATATAAGGCATACGTTCTGTCAATACAGCTGGTTCACCAACGCTTTGCATCACTTCCCAGTTGACACTCATTATACCTATTAACCGCAGTCCCATTGAAAATGTCGTTCCTCGGTTTGGACATTGCCCAAAAGGGCCTGTCTCTGTACACGGTTAGTTACCCCTCACCTGAGGCTTCATCCGCGCCACCACGCTCACGATGGAGACAGGTCCCAGCCGCAGTGGCGTCGATCATGGCCGCTCACACCTACGCCTCCATAGCCTCGGGAAAGCTCTACGACGTAGCCAACCCGCGTAAGCTCAACGACGTCGTCGCGGCCGACGAGAAGTTGAACAAGATAGTGCGTCTCCCTCCGCCCGAGTCTTGGGAATGTGTGACTGACCATCGTCCAAGATCAAAGCCCGGATCTTCCGCGCCGAGGCCGCCGCTGCGAACGGCTTCGAGACCCTCGGCCTCTATGCGGCCGGCGTGGTTGCCGCCAACGTGGCCGGTGTGGATCCCCGTTTTGTTAACACCATCAGCTTCAGCTACATCGGCCTCCGCATCTTGTACAACATCGTCTACATTCGTCTGCAGGACAACCGCAATTGGGCCCCGGTGCGCAGTCTCTCATGGATTCTCAGTATCGCTTGCACCTTTACTCTCTACTTCACTGCCGCCTCCAAGTTCGCTTCTGCCTAGGCTTTCTCTGGTTTCTTTGTAACTCGCGCATCGCCTAATCGTGTATACAATATTGATCACGGCCTCGGGCCTGCTCACAAGCAACACCATGAGATTTCGTTTTTGGTGATTGGTCCCGGTGAAGTGGCGTGTTTCTCGGCTTTTGATTTCATTGTATCGGCGGCGCATTCGGGGAACTCGAAGAGGAAAGTGGTGCCATCAGGTTCCCTTGCGAATCCCCCAGACGGCTTCTTCTCGGGCCGCACTTGACAACCTCGTACCGCTTCAGCAGCATCCAGCCGTCCGCAAACGTGGCAGCTGGCTCGCTTGTCTGCACGAGGCGATTTTGAAGTTCGGCCCCTCGCTTTTGCGAAGCGTACGTGCAGCAAGCCATCATTCGCCTGAATGTAGTGGAACAAGCCTGGAATCGCTCATGCTCAGTCTGACCCTCGCAATCAGTACCCGGACCAGTACCCGGAGTTGCTTCCAGTATTGCGGTCCAGCAATGGCAAGAAGGATGCATGACAGGTAAGACAACCTTCCGCATTGTGGAACATACAGGACTTCAAGCCCAAATCGAGCCACTTAAATGGACGCACCCGCCCAAGACTCTCTTTGATCCTTCCTCAGCCAGTAAGCCAAAGTTGTGTGGTAGTTGAACTTCAAGACTTTATATGTCCCTCTTCAGCTCTAGGCTCTTGTAAGAGAACAGGCAATCTCTCTTTGTCTACTCCCCTGCAATGTCGCTTGCTCCTTCCTTATTTCTAACGTACCTCAGAGCGAGTTGTTAGACTTGCAGGATCCGTTATCAACCTGCCTCTCGACTCTCCTGCTTCTCTTCTTCTTCCTCTTCCTTCCTCACCTCTTTCCTTCTCTGCTCTACGTTTCTATTTTTTCCCCTCTTACCCACCAAGGGCAATATCAACTCTTCTTCTTTTCTTCCTATTCCGAATCCAAAAGACTTTGTTCAAAGCCTCATCACAGCACTCTTACTCCAACAAACCCATTCCAACCTGCAACAATGTGCAACCTCAAAGGCCTCGTTGTCATCGCCGTCTTGGCTATCACAGTCACAATCACTGCTGCTGCTGCGATAAGGCCCAGCATTCAGCAGTCGGTCGAGACAGTCGTTGACATCGTCACTGCCACCACCACTGTTCAGCCTCCTGCAACTCCCTCTATCAAATGCGATCACCAGTGGTGCCAGGATGGAGCTTCCATGTGCGCCTACTGGGCTGGAGTTACAGGTAAGCTTCATGCATATGCTTCGGCACTCATCTTTAACTAACTTGGCTTTTCTGCCAGGTTTTGACCCTTCTCGAGGCCCTATTCCAGGAGAGACTGTCACTAACCTCGGTCCTTGCGCCATTCCTACGGCCACCGCCGCCCAAGACATTCTGCCGCGCAAGGTTGAGACCAACGAGATGCTCATCACTCCTGCCCCCACACTCGCTGTGGACTGCAGCTACAAGTTCTGCCAGGACAACACCTCCTACTGCATGTATTGGGCTGGCGTTACCGGTTGGGATGTCTCACTTGGTGCGATCCCTGGAATGCAGCGTACCTCTCTTGGAAAATGTGAAGCTCCTACTTCGACCTCTGTCAATGAGTCTGGCAACAACCTCCCAATACAGAGTGCTACTGTCAATTCTATCAAGGCCAGAGGCGCACTTTCCTTTTAGTAAACCAAGCATGGTGGGTTCTCTTTCATTCCGAGGCACTGCTCCTGCCCGCACTCTCCAGCAATTTTGGCTCATCAGCTGACGTTGGAAATTGCAGATGATCAATCATTTTCAAGATGCTTGCACTTGGGAGAGACTTAGAGACACAAGACTGGACGTATGGCCGCTGAAGAGGAGCGCCATCAGTCCCCGAGACGTTCGAATAGAGAGTAGAGAGGATCAAAATTTAATATTTCCAAATTGCAGTATGTGCAGTGAAGAAGAGCTATGTACATGGTGCTACCCAAGCAGATGTGTTGTATTTGAAGCGTATACATGACGCCTCTTTGGCCACGCAACCAACATCTCTTAAGCAGCTATATTGAAGGTCAGTCATTGTGCATCAACTATACTTCATGACGACTCACCAGGTCCAGTGACGGAGGTCGTGATGGCGGTATCTTCGACATAAACACCCGAGAAGTAAAAATCCTCGTTGCTGTCCGGGTACCCATCACGGGGAAGTTCCAAAACCCCCAAGTGCCAGTCCGCGCCGTTCGACGACGTCGAGGCAGAAACGGGAGCTACGACCTGCGTGAGAGGCGCGCTGCCCTCGGAGTGCCAGAAGCCAACGCTGCCGCTCGAGAAGTTCTGCAAGATCATCACATCAGCATTCACCCCAGCCCAGCTAACCGTTCTACAGGCAAAGAAGACTCACAATCTCGTACGCCACGTTGTGCCACACACCGGCCTTCCACTCCGCCTTCCACAGGCTCTTCTGCTGCACCATGAACTGCAGGTTCGCGTTGCTCGTCGCGCTCTCCCCGCTGATCCACCCGCTCTTCAGCTCGGTGAAGTGGCTCTCGAAGAAGGCGATCTGGTGCTCGCGGTAGATGCTCGGCGCGTTTGTGTCCTTGCGCATGATGGAGAAGTGGTACCACACCTTGCCCGAGTTAATAGCGGCTTTTGTCTGAGGGATCAGCTCCGTGCGGCGCATGTTCTGCCCGTTCCAGTACGCCGTGCTATCGAGCGTGATCTTGACGCCCTGCTTGGACGCCGTGTCGGCCGGGTTCTTGTAATCCGGCGACAGGTTGACGTATTTAGTGACATCGCCTGAGCCATGGATATAGTACTGGTACGGCCCGACCTGGTTCGCCCAAGACCACTTGTTGAGGTCGGTTGAGGAGTTGAGGTCATTAAAGCGGCCGTCCCACAGGATCTTGCCGGAGGCGAGGGGGAGGAGGGAGAAGAGGGCGGCGGCCTTCATGCTGGGTATATGACGACGGGGGAAATGGAATGTGAAATGGTACTGGTAGGGCTGAGGGTCCAAGTCGAACTGGGGAATCACCACCCCGCAACAGGAGAACGAAGTCTTTATATATCAAATCCAAGGCAGATCCAATATGGGAACTCGGGATCACGACATCGGGTAGCGTGCATTGCAAACCCCAGGGGGAAATAGGAGTTCAGACGCAAAATATGGGTCACGAGCAATATAAACATCGCCCCGGACGGACCGAGCAGCCAGGAGCTTGCCCGTGGAAGAAGCTTCTAAGACTGGCTTCGATGCTGGCTGGGTGTGCCGTCGCATTCGTCCGGACAGCACCTTCCGATGCACTTTATCATCGGTTCGGGCGATGATTTGGGGAATTTGTTTTGGGCGGAAGAGGGGGAAATTTAGGCTGTATGAAGTTTAAAGCGTGCCCACCCCCGCCACGCAAGGAGAATAAGGACATTCCGTCTGGCAAGGGCATGCTGGGCGAAGGCGAACTCAATCCCGATTAAGGGGCATTCGGGACATGACGACGTCGAAGGGTCTTGATTTCATTTTTGACCCTTTTGAAGCTTCCTGGGCATGCCAGACGCGCCGAATGAACCACGGCAATGCCACCGTGTGCCAAGGAAGCTTGTTCCCCTTCCTGTTCAGGAACCGGGAGAGAGTGCTCCCTCCAGATGCCGCGTGGTGTCTTGACACGTCGTGAGGGTTACATTCGGAAGCAGCCACCGCGGCTTACAGGCGACAGGATCTGCGGAGAAGGATAAAAAAGACTGAGCGATAAGTGGACGACCAGGCCGTGGCACGAGATCTTGGTTCTGTTCTAGCTGGGCCCAGGCATCGAATACAGCCGGCCTCATGGTGTTTTGTATCAAGGAACACCCTCAACCACAGAATGAGCCAAACGCCGATCGGATCTTTGTAGTATTATTCTTACTACCGTAGCAGCGCTGATATCCCCAATAGCGCGCTTATCGTCAGTTTGTTTACATTTGCTTGCACTCCCCTTGAATTCGCTGCTCTTGATCCAAATACCCAAGCTGAAACTCCTCCGCCTGTTTCGCTGCCACACTGGCAGGATCTGAACTCCCTTACCCTAAGCTCCATAGAGAAAATGACGATCTAGTGTCCCTTTTATGCCTCTGCCAGCCATAGGGGCGGTCAAGGCTCGATGCCTATGTAATAGCGTCTTTTCTACAAATAAAAAACAGGAACGAAAATGAGAGGTACCTTGTACAATAAGGGAAGCGGTAGACCTCCCCTATTTGTCATCGTCGCTTTCAGCATAGCTTCCTAAAAAGCTCAGCTGACGCAATGCCCTTCCCACGAGCGACAGGCTCTGTGGTGCGGCATCTTGGAACGGGCCGCGACGAGATGAGCGGCTTTCGTACCGAGGAGTGTCGGGCACTGGGCTTCCCAGCATAAGCTCATCAGCCTTCTAGGATGTGGCCGTCGAGGCCGGAGGCGCAGTGTCCTTGCCCTCCCTGGCGTCCACCTTCTGACGATGTTGCTTGTTCCTGAGATGCACCTCAAAGTTTCCGGCAGTCATTTCTGGACCAGGCGTGTAAAGTTTCCCGGGACAGTCCAGACAGCGGATTCTTGGCAGGAACATCCACCTGACCCCCTCTGGCGGCTGTGAACCGGCAGGAACGGGCACCGGCATTTCTGTGGCGGGGTTGACTGCTGAGTACTTCATCATGCCTTCAAAGTTGTCGTACGTATACGTGTTCTTAAGTTGCTGAAGGCATTCCTTAAGCCACTCGGGCGGAGGAGGCTGGGTCATGTCAGCTACTGTTCCCCTGCTCACATCATCTATCACGCGAATTTACTTACAGCAGGTGGCGGTGGCTGGCCAGCGACTGGTGGTGGCGCGGGTTGTCGGCCAATTTGACCTTGAGGAAGAGGAGTGCCAAGCTTCGCGGGCAGAGCTTGGCTGTTGGAGGCCGGCGTCGACGGAGGGGGCATCGAGCTCGCGGGAGCCGCGACACTGGGGATGCGTGTATGCGCAGGCGTTGACGGGGTCTGCGAACCGCTCGGCGTAACTCTGGCTCTGGGGTTCTGGAGAAGTCTCCGCAGCTTGTCTTTGCTGACCTTGAGCGTGACAATAAGCTGAGAAGGCTCCTCAGTCTCGTCTCGAGTCTCGCGGCCGCCGAACCGGTTGAGGTTTCTGCGCGTCTCATGGTGATGAATAACGCTCGCCTCGGGCGTCTCAGAGCGACCCAGGTTCGTGATGCGTTGCTGAGCGGCGCTAGCAGCTCCGCGAAGGCCTCTTGTCCTGGCCGTGCCTCCTCCGAGTTGTGAGACGCCCGGCGAGTCTGGGCCGGAGTCGTCGCTTGAATCGGAGTCGGAAATCTCGCCGTCGCGGGCACCTGGCCTCTTGCGTGTGGTCGGCGCGCCGGCAACGCGCTTGTACAGCGTCGTCTCCTCCATGTTCGGGGCGGCTCCAGGGAGCACTGATGACACCAGCAGCGTCCTGATCGTGCGCTGCCTTTCCTTGAGATCTGGCAGCTGAGGCCCGCCGCGGCGGTTGATGGAGCGCTTCTGCCTCCTTTGCTCGCGAGAAAAGATGACCTCGTTCCGGTCCAGGTCAGCATCGCTGAGCTCGTACAAGTATGGTGCGTAGTCTTTGGCTTGTTGCTGGGGCCTGAAGACGGAAGTGAGAGGAGAGGGGAGGAAAGCGTTGATGAGGTCGGGATCCTCGACCGGGCGGCCGTCGAAGGGATGGCCAACACTGTACAGACTGCGGGTGAAGAGTTGACATTGCTCACGGATGCTGTGGGCGATGGCGGTGGTGAACTCGCCCGACAACGACAAGTCACGCGCCATAGTGGCGGCGAAATCCTCCGGAGAGTTCAGGGGGTTGTTGATGTCCCATTCGAACTGGTCGACCAGGGTGTGCTGGCCGACGGTGATGTTGAGCTTGATTAATATCCTCATCTCGTCGTTCTTGTACGCGGAATAGGGCAATTCCGGATCAAGCGCGTCCTCTTCGGAGAAGACAAGGGGGTAGAAATCGTTGAGCTGGTCGCGCATCTGGTGAATCACCTGGTCGAGAACCGGCTTGTTTGCCTGGTCCAAGGGGATGCCGATGTCTTCCACCAAGTGCTGGGCGAAGAGCTCGGCGGGAATCACCCTGTCGTGGAGGTTCCACGTGAAGGTGTCGCGAAGCTTGATCTTCTCCCAATCCACATCGATCCGTATCGGCACGAGCTCCTCATGCATTTCCGCCTGCTTTTTCAAATCCTTCTTCTTCCACCTCAACGGATGCGACTGGCGCTTTCCGGGCCGCGGTTTCTGGCTCGGGTAGATGACCTGAGCTGGAAAGGGCGCTCGCATACGGGGATCGATGTCGGTGTATCCGTTTCCGTAACCGCGATAGCCTTCGCCGTACAGCTTGCTCGGGGGAAAGAACATGCGCTGATTCTTCAGGATGCTGTAGTCGTCGATCTTGTCTCGCATCTGCTCCATGTCCTTTTCGAACTTGGCTTGCGCATCCTTCATGGCGATCGAGTGTTGCCAGTCGCGCGCGACGTAGCGCTCGACCTGCATCTTGTTGAAAGAGTCCTTGTCTCGCACCGGAAGCGCCTTCGCGCTGGCAGACTGGGGAGTGCCATCGTGGTTGTTGTTGGCGGACGTGGATGCGGATGATGAGGCTGTCGCGCCAGCGCCGGTGGGCGTGGACGTGGATGGCTGGGCGGCCATTGTGGAGGGAATGTGCAGGGTGCCGAATCGCAACGGCAATGCGACGGGCGCGAACTGGTGTAGAAAACGCGCAGACTGGCCCGAGGTCGATTTGCGCGCGTGTTGTGGCAGATGCCAATTGGCGATGCCTCCAAAGTCGGATCAAGAGGTGCAAGGTGGATTCTGCTACGTCTACGGTAGCCTCCTGCTCCGTGTTGGTGTTGGGCGGGAAGGCTGGTGCCAGGTGGCTAACGCACCCAATGTCTTTGGGACGTGTTTTTGCTGGGAACTCCCGGTGCAGAAGCGTCAGAGTGACCCGGTTCTGTTAGCCGGCGCAGACCAGTACCAGGCTTTCAGGGGACGGGAGTTGCAGTTGCCTCTTGCTTCAAAAATTCATTTGTCACGCTAATGTACTCTGCCATACAAATTAAGCAGAACGGTACCTATCGCCGCTCCTACACGTCCTCGGTCGCTGCCGCACCAAGCACCAGGCGCTGAGCGTGTCTTTCACGATCTGAGCGCGTCCTGACCTCGACTGGGACTGGACTTGGCCGCACCGCCTCGAGTGTCGGCGCCACACCTGCCTCGAGGCAACCTCGCGCGTGGCGCACCACTTGAAGCATTCAGAACAGCTCTTGCGACAGCTGCTTTGCCATGGTCGCAGTCCACCACATTCGTGGTCACGAAGACGTGAGGCACCACCATCCTTCTTGTCGACGTCAATGAGTCCCGGCCAGGATCGTCTTGACCAGGACGCACATAATACGCTGTCGCCAGACGTGCAGAAAACCTCCCATCACTTGGAGAGATCCCATGTGGCCTTACGGTACGGCCCGGGCTTTTGCCGGTTTGAAGTTGGTGGGATGACGGGTTGCCCTGAGCTGTGAGCATCGGCAGCTTCAGCTCTGGTTGGGCTGAGCCGAGAAAAGGTTCTTTCATTCACCGAGTACACCTTGAGGCGGAGCTATCTCACCTTGGGTCATGTACCTGGAACCCCTCACCTTGGAGGCGGCTGGGCACCCGGTACCTGAGCTCTTGTTACCTTGCCTCAGGTGCCTGCTTCACTGTCGAGGAACAATTTAGGCTTCACCCGACCACAGGTAACACGGCACAGAAACGCTCCCATCTCTCTCCTGGTGCCGCGTGAACCGTCAACAACGATTCGCTGGTGGGCGTACCTACCTACGTAAAGTACCTTACCTCACCTACCTACCGTACCGACGTAACGACTCTAAGCGATCCCGGCGCAAATTCTCCACCACAGGTACATCAGACTGGACCTTGGAACTGCATCTGCTTGACCTGCCCGAGCACCCACAAACAGCAGCTAGCCCCTCCTTCCCCGCCCTGAAAATCGACGTATTCGTCGTCAAAAATACCAGCCCCGAGCACACCAACTCTGCACTGCATCTTCCCGCACATCCAACAGTTCCAGCTTCTCCCACTTTTGAGATCCTGGACCAGTGCACCACAATCGCTTGAGATATCCCTTTGATTTGTAGGCAATTCCTTGATCAAAAATACCGCCAAGATGTCGGACGAGAAGGAGATCGGTCAGTTGCCCCGTCTTGCCCGTTCATGCTGCTGCTATTTTCTTTTCGCGTGGTCGTGTGTTGCTGCTCCTTCTGCTGCTTTGCGTCACACACCAAAAACAGCCCACGCTGCTACCCCGCCACGCCCCAAGCAGCCATAGCAAACGCTGCTGCGGCTCAGGCTCACGAGACTCGTGCCTGGAGAGCTGCCCTTCCATCGCGGACTCGTTCATGGAGCTAACTGTATGGCAGACTACACCCTCAACAACCCCGACACCCTCACCAAGTACAAGACCGCCGCTCAGATCTCTGAGAAGGTCCTTGCTGCTGTCGCCGAGCTCTGTGTCCCCGGCGAGAAGATCGTCACCATCTGCGAGAAGGGCGACAAGCTCATTGAGGAAGAGCTTGCCAAGGTCTACCGCGGAAAGAAGGTCAACAAGGGTTTGTCAAGTCCCCCTTCTGGCCACCCTTCGAACCTCCCGTCGCTGACCGTGATTGCTTCGCGCAGGCTTCTCTCACCCTACCACGGTCTCTCCGGCCTCTTTCGTCACTCCCTACACCCCTCTGACCTCCGACGAGGCCGAGGCCAACGTCGAGATCCAGGAGGGCGAGCCCATCAAGATCCAGCTCGGCGCCCAGATTGACGGCTTCGGCTCCATCGTCTGCGACACCATCATCGCTGCCCCCAAGGAGAAGGCTTCCGAGGAGATCACTGGCCGCTCTGCTGACCTGATCCTCGCCAACTACTATGCCAATGAGCTCCTCCTCCGCTTGATGCTGCCTCCCGGCACTCTGGCCAACGGCACTGATGAGGAGAAGGCCAAGGCCAGCGCGGAGAAGGCCCCCAGCCAGGCCAAGATTACCAGCTTGCTCGAGAAGGTCGTCAAGGCCTACGACTGCAACCTCGTCGAGAGCACCACGTCATGGCTGTTTGAGCGCAACGAGATCGAGGGCAAGAAGAAGATCGTTCTTGCCCCCGCCGAGGGCACCAAGGGCGACGGTACCCCCGAGATTGGTGAGGTCTGGGGTGTCGAGATGGGCGTGAGCTTGGGTGCTGGAAAGGTCAAGACCTTTGACCAGAGAACCACTCTGCACCGCCGTACCCTCCAGACCTACGGCCTCAAGCGCCCGACTTCCCGCAAGATCCTCAACGAGGTCCAGAAGAAGTTCGGTACCTTCCCCTTCAGCTTGCGCCAGCTCGAGGATGAGCGTGATGCCAAGTCTGGTGTCGTTGAGTGCGTTCGTGGCAACGTTTTCCGTGCCTACGAGGTTGTTGGCGACAAGGACAACTCCCCCGTCGCTCGCTACCTGACCACTATTGGTAAGCCTCCCCATGGAGTGCCGTCATAATCCCCAGGCAACCAGCTAACGTTTGCGCAGCCATCACCAAGAACGGCATCACCAAGCTCGGTGCGCCCCCGGCTCTTGACCTCAGCAAGGTCAAGTCTGACAAGAAGATCGAGGACGAGGAGATCCTCAAGATTCTTGAGCAGCCTCTGTCGAGAAATACCACCAAGAGCAAAAACAAGAACAAGAAGAAGAAGAAGCCCGCCAAGAAGGCTGCCGCCGGCGAGGCGGAGGAGGAGAGCGACGAGGAGTAAGCGGAAGTGGAAAAACTGCAGTGACTATCAATAAGGATAAAGGGGGTGGCCCGATTTTGCGCCCACAAAATTTCGTTCGTGAAAGTCAAATGTGTGAATTTACCCCTTGGACAAACGATAGGGCCGTGTGGCCATGGTGAGGCCGGAAACAGGTGCGCTTGTCCTGGCTGTCCGACGCTGGGTGGCTGATGGGCATCGAAACTGTTTGCCGGTGTGTCAGCGAAGCGATGGTTCTCGATGAAAGCCTCACTCAGTCGGCTTGATTGGCAACGCGGGAAGTCCCCGAGGCAGGCAGCCCTGGATGTGCCGGATTGTTGGCAGAGGATAGGTCGGAAGGCCATATGCCCTGATGCAACAGCCCCAACAAAGACAAGTCATCTGCACGCATACGCGCATCTCATATACCATTCCACTGAGCCCGTTTCCCAGACCGACCCCGATCCCAGTGACCCCCAAGCATCAGCGTCGAAGGGGACGTGTGAGAACAAATTTGCTGATATCCCGCATGGTTTGTCGCAAAGTGATGATGTCTGAGAACGGAGATGGAACAGGGGCGTTTCTGCCGATGAGACCCAGCACGCCAGGAGAAGCCGTCGGCCGGGGGAAGAGAAAGTTGGCCACGAGGATGAGTGGAACAGAATGCCCAATTCCAGAGGTTGCCCGTCGCTCACCCTGGTCGTCGTCGATACGGTAGAGACGCGGACCCGCCCAGGCAAATGGCGACTGTACCGCGTGGTGAGCACCCGCACCCGCAGCAGAACCCAGCCCCCTGGGTGGGAAGCAAAGTTGGATCCCGAGTATCCAAACTTCGTTTCTCAGGTCGAGCGTCGGGGGGAGAACCAAGGAGGCGAGCTCCTGAAGATAAAGAGCTCCCCCGTCCCGCCCTTCCTTCAAACCGCTACGGAGGAGGTAGATGTGATTGTTCTTCGAGAAACAAAGATCAAGTGACGTCCTCGAGTACCATCGCCCAGCAGGTTCAAGAGGAAAAGGAAGGAGGCGAAGAAGACAGCCCAATCCAGTGACAACGGATTGACGCCAACGTGCAGTAAGCTGGAAACCTTATGAGCGCGTCCAGTAAGGTGAGCCGGGTGTGTAAGTCACAGGGCCAACAGTGAGGTCCAAGGCTTTGGCATGCTGTGGCATCGAGCTACTGGCTCCCAAGAGCGCTGTGACTTGGCCCCCCATCCCCCCCTGCACTTCGCCATCTGGTACCCTCGCAGCCCCCCCAGCGCCCACCGCCCACCGCCGTGGTAAGGTAGCTTTGTAGGTACTGTACTGCACCGTAGCTCCTTAGCCCACACCACCCCCAGTCCGTCGACTCCGAAAATCCTCGAGACCAATCCCGCAGCTCGGCACCCTTTTTCTCTCCCATCCCTCCTTCCCACCAAGTTTCTCGCGTCGCAAGTGGAGGGAACGCGCCTAGAACGCATCACCGAATGCCTTCCAAGACCAGAGAAGTAACCAACTCCCCTTTTCCTCTGCAAAGACACGAACTAACGCGATCGCAGGCTTCCGACTCGGAGCGTTTGTCAGTCTGGTCCAAGGCAAGGAGGTCAGGGGCCGCCGCAGAGAGCCCTTCCGGCGAGAAGAGCCCTTTCGACATGATGCCGACGAGCACGAGAGCTACGAGGTCGCGATTTTCCAGCCCGCACCAGCACGCCAACGGAGGGAGTGACTCTGCGAAGAAGTCGTCGAATGCGCCCAGTGCAGCGTCCAAGACCTTCTTGCAAAAATGGTTGGAGCCCGCAGTCCAGAGCAAGCCGAGCTTTGAGGAGGCAGGATTGATCCGATATGGCGTGACGGAGAACATGGCGCCCCTTGGAACCCTCCCAAAGGCAGGAACCACCAAAAAGCAGGGCCAGGAGGGTGCGCAGCAACCTGTCAGGAAGATTATCATCAAGCCAAGCTCAGCAAACTCTGCCGCGGCCGCCGCAAGTGCGTCGGCACCAAAGCGCTCAGAAACACCTCCTCCGCCACTTCCCTCACCACCCATTGCCGCGACGAAGATGGGCAAAAAATCGTTGACGATCAGAGGGTTGGATGACGACGATGAGGACGAGGACTACACGCCCAAGGCAGCGGCGGTGAAGAATGCGGCGAGTCGCACATCGCTCCCGCGCAAGAGCCTCTCGCGACCATCTGCGGGACGCCGCCTCTCAGCGTCAATTCAACAGCCCTCGGCGCCTTCCAGCGATGCCGTGCAGCCTCCTCCTCGTGAAGCTACGCCTGAGCCTACTCCTACTCCGGATCCGACTCCTTGCTCTCAGGAGTCGGTCGAGCGCGTTGTGGAGATCGCGGTTGATGAGGCGCTCCGGCATTACCGCTATCCCACTGCGTGGGCACTGAGGACCCTCTACGATGAAAATTCTGCGAACCCAACCTTCCTGGCCATGTTCGAGGACGTGTACAACCAGAAGGCTGACGCAGACACTCTGGATGAATTCGCTCGCCTTATCGAAGAGAAGAAGAAGGAGGGCAAGAAGGACAATCAGGCATGCTACTTTTTCGTGCCCCCTTCCACCAACTCGCGCTTCACCCCTCACAAGCCCAAGGCAGCACCCTACGGCAGGCTTCTTTCTCTCGATGCCAAGACAGAGAGCCCGTCGCCGACAAAAAAGAAAGGAAAGCGGCGGAAGGAGCTAGAATCCCCCGTCGACGATGCGGATGAGTCAATGATGGACGCGGAAACAGCGACTATGGGTGTCGTCACGCCCTCACGCAGGCGCGCCCGAAGGGACTCAGCAAGCAGTGATTCTTCCCTCTCGGAACTGTCTGCATCGCCATCACTGCCACCAGACTCGCCATCTCCCAGCTCTCCACCCATTCCCGTCGGATTTCGAGTCGTCAGCCACAGTCGCCGTCACAGTGCCACGACGGCTACCACGGCTGCTGGGGCCGACCCCGAGACCACCACAACCAGCGCAGCACCGCCAACCGAACCCCAGCCAATTAAGAGACGCGGCAGATCCCTTGCTGCTAAGTCGAGCGTGTCTGACGCATCCAACCCAAACTCACCCACCCTCCCCCCAAACGCATCTCAAGCTGCAGGGGCTGGCAACATGCCTGGTCGACTTTCCTCACCCATTTTCCCCAACCTGTCGTCCACGGCCAACACGACCACGACAACAAAAGCGGCCGGTAAGAAGAACGCCAGCAAGGATAAGGCACCGCGCATCTTGCCCAGCGATGATGCCACGACTTCCCGCAGGAGAAATGCACGCGACAGCACCATCAGCCAGACGCCCCAGCCAGAGAGCCATATTCGCGTATCAGACATGAGAGGTAGAGCAGGATCCGTGTTTGCATCTTCGCCAGCGGTGCATCTTCGCAAGTCAGCCAGGACGCCGGCTCCCAATTTGAGCCTGAATCTGAACTTGAGCGCGAGGACCACGAGATCGGCCAAGAGGACGCATGATGAGATAGACAACAGCTCTCCGACCGCGCCATCCTTCATTGAGGACGTCACTCCGACGGCGAGCTCGAGAGCTGCGACGCCCACAAACCTACGCCCTACGAAGAAACAGCGGACCGGCTTGCGTATCAAGACTTCGTAAGTTCATTTTTCCCCCTGATGCACTCTGCATATCGCAGCTTTTATCCCAGACTTTGCGTCGAAGTGGCATAGTGCGATGAGATGAGAACCCCAGCCCTGAGTGGCGACGTGAGCGGCGTCGCACGGCAGGCGGTTGGTCTCATCGCCGTAGCCATCGCATTCGTCCGAAATTTTATCGCAAAGCACTTCATGAACATGCAAAATTGAAGTCACTGACGCGTTCCATCACAGTCCTATGAAGAAGAAAGGAGGCACTGCAGCTGGCGTTCCCCGTGCCAGCGGAGAGGGCGGTCCATCTGTTGCCAACGGGGGCCCGACAAATCAGGTAAGTCTACGTCGCGTGTCTCTTTTTCATCGTAGCACAAGGCTGCCCACTTCAATCCAAGCCATTTTTTTCTGCCTTGGGCGCCCTCGACGGGTTGGTGGATGGGATGACAGGATGGGAGCACACGAGGGCATGAGGGCATTCTGCGGGCATGGATCTTGAGCGGCCAAGGCGCACATCCCGACTCAGAGTTTAGCGGCCCCCGTCCTCCCGTTTTTCCCGACCAGCCTGCACTCCCACCTCTTCATTTCCCGCAAATTGCCTCAGCGAACACATGCTTACAACCTACCAGGACGAGAATGATGACTACTGCTCGGCTTGCGGCGGTGTTGGGGAGCTCGTTTGCTGTGAGAACTGCTCTAGGTCATTCCATTTCGAATGTGTCGACTTGGGCCTGGGCGACACGCTCCCCGAGGAGTGGTTTTGCAACGTCTGTTTCAGCACGAGATACCCCACTAGGGTGCCCGAACACAAGGGTCCCTTTGGAGGGTTGCTGAATGGCTTGGAGAAGACGAACCCGCAAGCCTTCAAGCTGCCTCGGCCAGTCCAGCTCTACTTTGAAGGCGTCAAGATTGGACCTGAGGGTGAGTACGAGGACGTGGTGGTTCCCACTAAGCCAAAGTAAGTGCCAAATCCCACTGCTTATCGTCACCGTCAGCTGACAATCGCTCCAGGAAGAAGGGATATGAAGAAGCTCCCGACTTCTTCAAGGTTCGGGACGCCGACGGCTCTGCGGTTCTATGCCACAATTGCCAGCATCCAGCAGCCGACAACCGAGCCATCATTCCTTGTAGTCTGTGTGGACTTCACTGGCATCTGGACTGTCTTGACCCGCCTCTGGCGATTCCGCCAGTCGTACGGACATGGCGCTGTCCGGTTCACGCAGACGACCTGCTGGCCACGCTGCCGGAACAGCTCGCGCCAGCTCACCGCTTCCGGAAGATCAAAGGAGCACCCACCATCACCCCTGCTTTTAGCCGTGGTATGAGAAACAACGGCTTCATCGAGATTGAGGAGGAAGAATCAAGTGACGAAACGGGCTGGAGCGACGTGAAGACCTTTGGCCGAGTGTACAAACTGCCCGCCAAAGGCGTTGTGCTCGACTTCATTTCTCAGTCAGTACCGCCTGCGTTGCCTGAATTTGCGGGGGAGTACTAACAATTTTCACAGGCTTCGAAAGGATGGCGCAGGCTACATTGCTGGTTCGCAGCCATTGGCCGGGGCCCAGCCACACCAGACTAGCCCTCCTCTGGACTCTCGCACGCTGGCGGAACAGCAAGCGGTGTTCAACATGGTCGAGCTGGCTTCCACTCGACAAAACAACAAGCTCGACGACCTCACACAGGCTCTCCTGGTAAGAACAACCGCGACGTCGAGACGGTGTAGACGTAGAACTAACAGATCCACAGATGAGTGCCGATGCAGACGTTCTTTCCATCATGGCGCGTGGCAGCGCCGAGAACTTTGCCAACGGTGACTTGAATGCCAATGATAAGCAAAGTCTTCGCGCCATGCTTGCTCACATGGAAGCCATGTCTGACCGTATTAAGAGCCTGCTTGGAGGCGGTTTGCACGGCGTTGCTGGCCCGACCACGATGGCTGCGGACGCAGTCACAGCCGACGGCAACACCACAGACGTCACAGAGAGCGTGGAGGGCGATGTGACTACAATCAAGAACGAGTCCGTTGAGCCGCCGGCTGATCTGCCTACCCCGGCGACGACGACTCAGGACAACCCGGAGCCGGCCAGCGTTCTTGGGGAGAAGTCGTCGCAGGAGGTGCCGAACGACGACGACACGACCGTTATGGATATCGATTAGGATGCCAACCACGACGAGACTCGGTCGGTGACAATGGAACGTTCCTCATCCCCAACTAACTCCGACATACACATGCGACAGCCTAATGACGACCCAACCGGCTCGCATGTACCGACACTAGAGAGACACCACGACGTCGTCTGACAAGAACGGCACGACGATCACGGTGCATTCGCCATCGGTATTCTCTATTATTTTCCCTTTTATTATCATTGCCCATTGATTCCCAAGACACGACCTTTCGCACGAATACCGGAGTTTGGAGGAATCGGGCATCAGCGATTGAACACAGGACGACCGCTCCAAACACACACACACTCAACGTCATAGAAAGAAGCACAGCGGTCTAGTAAGAGAAACGAGTTCGCACACGTTTCGAGCGCAGGAAGAAGGGTGGCATTTTGAGTCTTTTCATATTTTTTTGAGCAAGCACGGCATCAGCAGTATGTGCTATCCATAGCGTTGGAGGGGAAGATGAGAATGACAGGCAGCCTGGGTATACCGTGCCTATATCGATGGAGAAGGAGTAGTTGGGTTGGGTTCGCTTGCGCGCCCCCTCTCTCTCTACGGTTGTCTTGTATCATACCACAACTCTCTTACACTCGTAATCTCTCCTTGGGTTCCTAGGTTAGGTAGGTATGGGTAAGGCACACAGGGAGGTAAAAGTTTTGAGATGGCACAGAGGCGGAGGTGAGAGTGAGCGAGTGGATGGCGGAGGGGGCATTAGGCATCGAATAGAATGCTACACTACACACCGCATCAATCAAGTCATGCCCCTGTGACATGTGGCCCACGTGGTACTGCCAAAAGCAGCTTCTTGGCTCATTCATGATAGAACCCCTGGTTAATACTGCTGGCTTAAAAGGTTTACCTGGCCTTTCTTCACTTGGCGGGGTTGAAACTGGACAGACACCATAAATAAACGTGACACAGGACGGAGACGGCTCATATGTGTGTTGGGAAATACCAATAGCTTTTACTACAATGCAAACACTACCTCATGCTATCTATCTATACAACCCGGTCGAGAGCAGCTTTTGGAGCAACCTCGAACAAGAAGGAAGTTTCGTCACAGCCGTAATCGAATGAAGAAAAACAAAAGACATACTTTCGAAAGCCATAGGACACCCTTCCATCCCACCCAAGGTTTCTACAAGAAAGGAAAAATAGAGAAGAACAAGAAACAATAGATGCTGCTGCTGCTGCTGCTGCTGCTGTAAAGCTCAGAAAAAGAAGTGATGCCCGCCCATCGTTTGAGACTCCGATTGATGACTTTGCAGTACCTGGAAGCAACACACATTTTTTTGGGGTAGGGTTGGTTTTTTTTTTTTTTGTGGTTTTTGGTTTTGTCTGACTTCCTCGCAAGCGCGGGCTTCAGGAGGACGGTCTGCCGCCCGTCACCCACCGCCCGCTCATTCTATATACCACGCCACAAGCAAAGTGAGGGTAGCAATAGTAGTGCTGTAAAAAGAAACAACTTCCCAGGTGAAGATCAGGAAGGATGAAGAGCCATTCGTGGAGCTGCTGGAGCCCACCAGGTGAATCGAAGAAGAAAATAATAAAACCCTCTCTCGTTGCTGCGACCACTATCCGGGGGCAGCATTCGTATGTGCCCTTGTCTATCATCGAGACATGGCCCCCTCCTCGAAGGGAGTGGCTTGCGCATTTTCCTGACACATGGGGCGGCGTTTACTCCTGCAAACATTCTGTACATGACGACCCAGATCCACCAAACTCCTGTGCCGATTCCATACCAAGCCATCCTTTACCAAGCAAAAAGAGCGGCATGAGCCAGTCAGACCGTCCCTGACCAGCATTTCGTCTGTACAATTGGCGTTCGGATCACCTCTTTGACATCAGAGTTAGTGCTGCCTGGGGACACCGATGGGGGTAGGTAGGGGTTGACCTACTCGGCCACGTCTTCCGTTGACCTGCTCCTGTTGCATATAGCCCATGTTCTGCATGCCGCCACCCATGTTGCCGTAACCAAATCCTCCCATGCCTCCCATGTTCATACCAAATCCGGGAGGTGCGTACGGTGCCTGACCGGGAGGCATCTGAGGGATCTGAGTCGCCGGAGGCTGGATAGGGCTGCCGTTGGCCAAGTTTTGGCTCCGGTACTGGTCAATCGATGGACTAGGGCTGTTGTAGCCGCCAAAGCCTGCCTGCATCGGGGGGAAGAAGTTGTTGATGGGAGGTGTGGCGCGATTCAGCATGTTCTGCTGGTACTGCAGCTGCTGCAAGTTCGCAGGAGCCGGCATCGGAGAGTTTGATGGGTTGTACATGGGGTTTTGCACACCATACGGCGGGAACGGCGGCATGTTCGCGTCAGCAGGCTCGTTACGCTGGCCACCAAAGCCCATCTCGTAATTGGACGGATTGACAGGCGCGTTGAGCGGGTTGTAGAACTGCTGCTGCTTGTTCATGTGGCCACCCTGCTGATGGTGGTTGTTCAGGTTGGCCTGGCGAGAAGCCGGTCGCTGGCGCTGTTCATTATTGTTCGAGTTGCCGTGTCCGTGGTCACGAGCACCTCCGCCGCTGTTGCGTGTAGACAGACCAACCTCGTCCATCAAGCGCTTGTAGCCTTGGCCGGGCTGGGCCTTAATGCGAACTAGGACATTCTTGACATTCTCGACCACCTGGCTGCGGATGCTCTCGTCGAAGAAGGGTGTGGTGAGGACCTTGAAGATCAAGGTCGCACCGCAGGCGTGGTCGCTCAGGATCGCCTCGAGAATCTGGTCGTTAGGCGTGAAGAACAGAGCCTTGAGAATGGTGTCTCGTGCCTCCGGCTCGGCCTTCTGGTTGATGACCTTCAAAACCGTGAGATAAGCGACCTTGTGTGTGCAGAGATGGACGAGGCAAGGGACAAGCTGGGGCGACAAAACCGTCCGGCGCTGAGGGAACGTGCAAGTATCCAAGAACCAAGTCAGAAGCAGGGCTCCGTTGGCGTTGGTGGCGAGCTGCACGCTGTGTAGGGCGATGGCGGCGGCAAGCATGCGCTGCTGCTCCTTGGTGGAGTGGTGGCTCTCCAAACAAGCACGCATGGCACGAGCACCGTAGCGGCCTTGAGCAACCTCCCACATGCGGCTAAGCATGGTCTCGAAGATGAAGTCATTGTAGGGAGCGCCAAACTTGAGGCAGCCCTGGAGCACATAGTTGCCGTACTGGTCCAGGAACAGGGGAATCGTGTACGGTCGCAAGTGCTCAACGATCAAGGACATCTGGCGAGGAGTCTTGCAGACATCGATGATCTTCTGGGCAGCCCAGGTTCCGTTCTTGTGCACACCAATCTCGGCCATGTGAGGAGCAATCTCGGCAAGCATGGCATCCCGGAGGTCGTCGGAGCAGTGCTCAAAGAGCTTCTGCACGACTGTGTTGCCCAGGTAGTCGGACGACAGCTCGGCAATCTCGGGAAGCATGTCAAGGGCGGTTGTCTCGATCTCGGCCTGGGAGAGGCTCTGGTTGTCGATCCGCTTCCTGATGTCCCTCAGTCTTGGGGCGTCATGGACGCGGGTGTGAGCTGGCTCCCGAATTGGGGGGATCTCGTCAACGAAGTTGTTGAACTGGATAGAAGACTGGAGACTGCGGGAGATCTTGGCAGAGTCCTCGTCAGAGGCCTGGAATTGCTTCACGATACGGAGGATGTCATTCGTCATCTCGGCCAAAGGTGGCACGGTCGGGGCAGCATTTGCTGGCTGCGCGGCCAGGGGCGCGCTGTCGGCGGCGGCGCCGGAGCCAGAACCGGATGCGCCGTCCTGGTTCTTCGAGAAGGGATCGGGGCTGGGGGACGGGAAGACACCGTCGTGGCCGGGCGTGTTGGAGGCAGATGGGGGCTTGGCGAAGTTGATGCGGATCGGTCCAGCTCCAGGGAAGATCTCCTTGCCATTCATACTAGCCTTCGCCGTGATGGCGCTCTCCATGCGCTCAAAGTTCACGAAGCCGCAGTTCTTGTGAGTAAGGACACGAGCAGACAAGATTGGGCCGTATGACTTGAACATCTCCGTCAAGGTTGACGTCGTGGTGGAGGTGGGAATGCTGCCCAGCCAGAGAGCGCTGGTGGGACCTTCGAGACCTTGATCCTCGGCGTTGAGGAGATTCGCGTTGCGGCTGCTTGACCGTCCAAGGTTCATCGCAGCTACGGCCTGCGGCAGGTCGTCAAATTCCTTCTCGTCCGGCAGACGGATCTCGGCGGGCGGGATAGCACCGCCCATGCCAGCATTGCCAGACATGTAGGTGCGCATCAGGCGGGAGCCAGGGGTGTCCAGAACACCAGCGGTGCGGGCACGAGGACGGGTCGCTTGGTTGGCAAAAGCTTGCACAGCCAGGTTGTGGTTGTGAATGGCCGCATTGGTTGCCGCAAGCTGGTCCTGAAGGTGAGCGACATACTGGCTCTCCAAAGTCATGTTCTCCTCGAAATCATCCTCTTCCTCGTCAGCGTACTTGTCCTTGTTGTTGACCGAGTAGGAGCGGAAACGGTTAGCCTTAGTAAAATCGTTGAAGCTCGGGATGTACGGAGTCGCCAGTTGCGCGCGAGGGGGCTGCGGTGTCTCAGCCAGTCCGAGGTAGTCGAGCGTCCTCATATGGACATCACTCTCACCACCGCCTTCTCTAGAGATCTGAGACTGGGTTGGCGAACTGGGGCCGTTCGTAGAACCGATGCTAGCGATGCTTGCCAGTGTCATGCCGCGATCGCGACCGGTTCCGGTGGGGTTCCAGCTGCTGAAGATGGAGGGTCCAAATGGAGAGCTGGTACCCGGGATTTGGGCAAAGGGGCTACGCTGAGGCATTGAACCGGCGCGAAGACGGGAGAGCAGCGCGGAGTTATTGGAGGCGGTGTCCGCTGGCTCGAGGCCTGGAGAAGATGACTTGAAGGGGCTGTGGGAAGGTGTGGGCCGAGATGACTTCGGCGCCATCGCAGGAATATTGAGCAGACCGTTACCGACACCGCCGGGAGAGAATCGTGACGGGACGGTACCAGCGCGAGCACGCCTCGTCTGGGG